TCAGCGCACAGCCTGACGTGGGGCTCGAACTCACGAACCGTGAGATCATGACCTGAGCTGAAGTCCGATGCTTGACCGGCTGAGCCACCAGGCGCCCCTTTAATGGACTGCCTTTAAAAACAGAAATTAATCCTTTGAAAAGGACCTTTTTTTAAATTTTTTTTTTCAACGTTTATTTATTTTTGCGACAGAGAGAGACAGAGCATGAACGGGGGAGAGGCAGAGAGAGAGGGAGACACAGAATCGGAAACAGGCTCCAGGCTCTGAGCCATCAGCCCAGAGCCTGACGCGGGGCTCGAACTCGCGGACCACGAGATCGTGACCTGGCTGAAGTCGGACGCTTAACCGACTGCGCCACCCAGGTGCCCCGAAAAGGACCTTTAAATTACGATGTGTGTTTGGGTGTCAGTTTTGGTATGTATCTGGAGACTCCCACTGTGTTGGCTCAGCAAAATGAAGTGACAGGTCGGGACCACTCAGCGATGGAGCCAGAATGAGTCTCATTGTCAGCCAGGGCCCTATTGTACCACCCACCAGGGTACCCACCTCTTTTATTTACTCCAATGGCTCCCTCAAACACCTCCTGCCCTATAGGTAGCCAGTCTGAACTCCCCTGGTTTTCTAAATTCTCAGGATACTACTCAGGGCAGAGGGGTTTAGTCCTCTTTGGAAAGCCCAAGCAGCGTAGGACCTGGAATCTGATCAGCCCCTCCTGGCATTGCTTGTTGCTGTCACACGGTGTCACAGTGGAAGACAGTTCCCGCCCAGCCTAACAGGGTGCGTCCCCTGCCAGGAGGAGCCTTGGAGATCCGATCCCAGCAGGGCCACAGAGGCCCTCTGAGAGAGACTGGGTCCCTCCGGGGTCCACCTCTTTGGTGTGCACCCGCTTTTTCAGCCGTCGTACGCAAAGCACGCTCGCACTGTGTAGGTTGGCCGCCTTGGGGGGAGATGGCCAGTCTCTGTGCTGACATCAGCCTCCCCTCCCCACCCTCCTGGTCCTTGTATTGACCCTAGACTGCCTTTCTTTGAGGCAGTTTTATGGTTTTAAAAATGTCTAATGTTTATTTTTGAGAGAGAGAGGGAGGGAGGGAGGGGCAGAGAGAGAGGGAGACACGGAATCTGAAGCAGGCTCCGGGCTCTGAGCTGTCGGCACAGAGCCCGACGCAGGGCCCGAACCCACAGACTGCAAGATCATGACCTGAGCCGAAGTTGGATGCTTAACCGACTGAGCCACGCAGGCGCCCCTATTTTTTTTAAATTAAAGTATAGTTGACACATGATGTTGCATTAGCTTCAGGTGTGCAGTGAAGGAACAAGTCTGTCCGTTCCGCTGTGCTCACCGCAAGTCTAGACGCCACCCGCCCCCATAAGAGGCTACTGCGACATCCCTAATGACACTCCCTGTGCTGTGCCTTTTATCCCCATGACTTCCTCACCCCGTAACTGGAAGCCTGTACCTCCCACTCCCACCCCACCCCTGCTCCTTCCCCTCTGGCGACCACCGTTTCATTCTCTGTCTTATGGGTCTGTTTCTGCTTTTCGTTTATTTCTTTAGTCATTTGTTTCATTTTTTAAGTTCCACATGTAAGTGAAATTATACGGTATCCACCTTTCCCCGTCTGACTTCTTTCGCTTCGCGTTAATACCCTCAAGCTCCGCCCGTGTGGTTGCAAATAGCAAGACCTCATCCTTTTTTGTGGCTGAGTAATATTCCACAGGCAGTTTAATTTCTGGAGCTTTGGTGTCCCTTCCAGTCCCTCAGCCTCGGCCGGGGCCGTGCCAGTGCACCCAGTGGGCCTCCCTGGCACCACGTCTCGAGGAACCGCTTCCAGAAGTCTGGGAGCTACAGATCCACCTTTTCTGCAGTAATCAGCCTTGTATTTGTCCCGGGAGCGCATCCCTGCTGGACTCCCAGAAGGGTCATACTCTATTCCCCTAGGGAGATGGCTGTGCTCAGGGCCCATGTTTGCACAGCCAACAGGGCCCCTGAGGAGTCACAGGGTGTAGAAGGTCAGCTTCTCTGGGTCAAAAAAAAAAAAAAAAATCACAACAAATCCCAAAACTTGACCACTCCACATTTCAGATAAGGAAACCGGGGCCCAGAGACCGCAAGTACCTTCTCCAAAGCCACACAGCAGGTGTCTGGCCCTGCTCCCCGTTCCCTCCCATGTCTGCTCACGCTCTTGTGGATGGTGCCAAGGGCCTGTGGACAGGACCCTGACGGGCCTGCCCAGGACCGATCCCTCTGTCTCCTCTTGGTGAACCCTCAGGTGAAATGGCAGGAGCGGGCGCGGCCAGCATCATGTCCACCCTGACTGAGAAGGCCGTGGTGAAAAAAGAGCTGCTGGATGACGTGGTCGGGAGAGACAGGTACCAGGTCAATAACAAACACGATGACAAGTACTCGCCGCTGCCTCCCAGCAAGATCGTCCAGCGGGCGGAGCAGCTGGTGGGCCAGGAGCTGCCCTACTCGTTGCCCTGTGAGAACTGCGAGCACTTTGTGAACGAGCTGCGCTACGGAGTCGCCCGCAGCGATCAGGTGCGTCCCCAGCCTGTGTCCCCGTCCCCCGGAGCCGGGCCATTCCCTCAGCTGACTGTGGCTGGGCCTCAGGCACAAAGACGATGAAGCAGTTGAGGCAGAATCCCTGCCGTCGTCAGCCGCTGCCTTGATGGAATCCTGTGTTTTGAATAACCTTCTTCTTTTTTTTTTTTAATTTTATTTATTTATTTTGAGAGAGGGGAGCACAAGTGGGGGGAGGGGCAGGGAGAGAGAGAGAGGGAGAAACCCAAGCAGGCTCTGCACTGTCCGCGCAGAGCCCGACATGGGGCTCGAACTCACGAACCGTGAGATCATGACCTGAGCCACCCAGGGGCCCCAACACTATTCTTCTTTTATCCACTTAGAACTTTGCTAAGAGTGAAGAAAGCGCACGGTAGAATTTTCCTGTGCCCAGGAATAATGCTGGGGCTTCGCGCGGGGGAGCCGTGTAGTCTAACCGGCTAATTTTCTGTGCTCTAACAGAATTTCAGTCTGTCCGCTTAAAAAAACAAAAAGGCAGATTTCTTCGCCTTTCTAATGCGGGACAGCTTTTTCTGTTTCATGCTGTTCTCCTTGAAGACCTGTGTGTGCTCACACCATGTGGCCCTTTTTCGTGATCAGAGCTCCCATAATTCAGCGCGGAGCCTGGGCTCACCCAGCAGCCCCGCGACTAGGAAATGCTCGGTGGTGGTCGTAGTGCTGACTCTCTCAGGCTGGTCACTACCCGCCCCCACCCCCCATCCCCCGTAAAATGTGCACTATCAGAACTAACTAGAGACCACTTTCTTGCATTTGATGATACCCTTTGATGCCTCACGGACCTCGCTCGCAGTCAGGCTATTGTGGTTTTCCTTGACAAAGTACCTTTTGTCCGAAGCCGCTGCCTCAGCATTTGCCCTCACTCTGTGAGGTTCTGTAGAGAACTGGGGGCGCGTTGTGCCTCCTGCATCATCTGAAACTGTTTGTCCCACCCGGACAGATCCGTTGAGCGAGGAAAACGCTGGGGACAAGTGCTTTCGGGCAGGTTCCGTAACAGAGAAGCACAGCTGTCACAAGGCCATGCCGGATTTCCTCCAGGAGGAAGGCTAAAGGTTGGCTTGTAGGCAAATGTCAGGTCAGCAGCTTCATCCGGACTCCGTCGTCACGCCTTCTGGCTGCTGGGAACGGCGGTTCTGGGTACCACGCTGGTGACGTCAGTGATGCGGGCGTATTTCCTGACACCGCGCACAGCTATGGTGGGTCCCTTTATGGCCCACGTAAGCCTGGGCAGCGCCAAGATGTATATATTTTTCACCATCGAAGACCTCCAAGTTCTTCTCTCCAGGGGGTCATGTAGGAGTTTGGGCAGCCACAGCATCCAATCCAGGCAACCTGTGAGCTTAGGCGGCAAGGGCATCGTCGACCGTATTGGGTAAGCGTGTTCGTTTTGGGTATCAAGTTCATAGTTTCCATCCTTTTTATTCCTGCAATTTTTGGCACGTTGTCCTCATTGGACTTCTTGGCATAAAAGCGAGGATCGAAAATCGTGGTCTTTGCTGTCCCTGGTTCTGCTTCAACACCTGACTTGGTTTGTGGGTGAGATTTCTTGATCCCTGTTCATGATGCTTTTTCCTGCCTTCGTTGGGAAAAAGCACAGTTTTGCTGATTTGGGGCATTGTGTCTTCATTGGGGACAGTGGCTGTGAGCGGAAGGGAGGGCTGGCTCTCCCTTTGCTTTGTCACGGGAGCCCGTGCCCCCAGAGTTGCGCCTGGATAGTGCTGGAAATGGGAAGAGGCCGAACTTTCTCATGGTTTCTTGCTGATCTGAATTGTTTCTGCTGAGTTTTGTTACCTTCAGTGTTGCTGCTGCACCTGATAACACGTGAAGGGCGGAACGGTGGCTGTGAGGACACGGTGGCTTAGAAGCTGGGAAAGAAACTGGGGAAAGGGCCACTGGATACATTGGCTCTGCAGCCGGAGTGTACATTAGGGCAACTGACTTCCGTGTTGGGGTGTTTTTTTTTTTTAATGTGTATTTATTTATTTTGAGAGAGAGAGAGCAGGGGAGGAGCAGAGAAAGAGGGAGAGAGAGAGAATCCCAAGCAGGCTCTGTGCTGTCACTGCAGAGCCCAATGCGGGATTCGAACCCATGAACCATGAGATCATGACCTGAGCAGGAACCGAGAGTTGGACATGCAACCGACTGAGCCACCCCGGTGCCCCTTGGGGGTGTTTTCTAAGCTTCAGAGTACATCCTCAACACTCACTAACAGAGGCTTTTTATCGACACCGAAATGAAGGTCTTAACGTCCATAGAGCTCATCTATGGCCACCATGTTTCAGCTCAGTGGCAGACTGTCGGGTTCTCGAATTATACAAGGAGAGTGCTGTGCACATCAAATGGACTTGAATGTTGAGGTGAAAAAAGAGCTGGGGACAGCAGATCTAATTCCTGAAAGCTTATTAGAGGTAGACAGAGTCCTGTCGTCTGAAACACCAATAGCAAAGCTGAGTGCACTCTTAGGCACTTGAGACAAACCAGGTTGAAGGGCAGAGGTCAGAGGTAAGGGGAAGGTTTCCAACAAAGTGAAGGATGAATCTGAGCTGTGTGTGTGTGTGTGTGTGTGTGTGTGTGTGTGTGTGCGCACGCGCGCGCGTGCAGGCATGCAGGAGCTCTCAGTGACCCCGTCACAAAGCCAGACTATCACAACAGCAATCATTTAACCACATGCTTCTGTTCGATCAGTGTAACACATAGTTGTCTGTGTGATGCATCAGTGACGTTTTCCCGTGGCTCTTTGCTGGGATGTCACGTGTGTGTCTTCCTGAAATGCCCATAGTCTTTGCCTCACCTACGGGATGGCTTCCCCATCACCTTCCTGCCTTTCAAGTCTTGTAGACATGGCGTCGGCATTCCAAGTGGGTGCAGAAGGGTTTCGCGGCAGGTTTCTGAGCTAACTGTGGTTGCCTCTATTTTTTTGTCTTTTGTTGTTGTTGTTTCTGGAGAAGTCTTTGAAATTTAATTTTTAATCTTTCCAAGTAATGCATGCACACAATTTGTAAAGACAGCCAGGGCTCAGGGTACCCTACCCCACACCTCTCTACTCCTCCCCATCCCCCCCAGCAGTCACTCTTCTTTGAGTTTGGCATTTACCTATTTCTGAATTTCTTGTTTTAATGTTTATTTAGTTTTGAGACAGAGAGACAGAGAGAGAGAGAGAGAGACAGGGCATGAATGGGGGAGGGACAGAGGGAGAGGGAGACAGAATCTGAAGTAGCTCCAGGCTCCAAACCGTCAGCACAGAGCCCGACGCGGGGCTTGAGCTCACCGACCGTGACATCATGACCTGAGCTGAAGTTGGACACTTAACCAACTGAGCCACCCAGGCTCCCCATTATTTAAAAAATTTTAAAAACTAAGTTTATTTATTTATTTTGAGAGAGAGAGAGAGAGAGAGAGGGAGGGGCAGAGAGGGGGAGAGAGAGAGAGAGAGAGAGAGAGAGAGAGTGTGTGGGGGGAGGGGCAGAGAGAGAGGGAGAGGGAGAGAGACTTCCAAGCAGGCTCCATGTCACAGCGTGGAGCCCAACATGGGCCTTGAACTCATGAAGCATGAGATCATGACCTGAGCCGAAACCAAGAGTTGGACCCTTAACCGACGGAGCTCCCCAGGCGCCCCAGGGTTTCCTTTTTCCTCGAAGATAATTATTATCTCCTTTCATTGCTTAGTTTTCCTTGTACCTATTGTCAGTTCTTCCCACACTGTCTGATTAGCCCTCAGTACAGTTCTCCACAAGGGAAATCATGTCCAAGTAATCTATCAGTTCTAGGATGTTCTCTTTGGACACATGCATCCCCGAGATGGCCATTCTGCCGTCAGTGCTGGTTGGCTCTTGGCTGACCGCATGGTTTTACCCCAGGATTTCCCTTTGCTGTCTTCCTTGGGATTTCCTTTGCCTTTCTCTTGGATCGGATACCCTGGTTCCATGATCTCTTCATTTCTTATTTCTCGGATTTTCCCTTAATTTACGTAGACCACGTCCCTCAGAAGTTGCTTTAGGTTCGAAAGACAGTACATGAGATAACGGGGATGCTGAGGCACACCGCTCTTATCTGGTTACTGTATAAGCTTCCTCTGGCTGCCGTCACAAATTACCACAAATTTAGTAGCTTAAAACAACCCAGAGTTACTGCCTTACCGTCGTGGAGGTGAGAGGTCTAAAAATGGTTTCACTGGGCTAAAATCAAGGTGCCAGCAGGGCTGTGCTCTTTTCTGGAGATTCCGGGAGAGAATCTATTTTCTTGCTTTTTCTGGCTTCTAGAGGCTTCCTGCGCTGCTCGGCTTGAAGCCCGTCCTCCGTGTTCAAAATCAGCAATTGTTGACTGAGCCTTTCTCACATTGCATGACGCTGACTCTTCTGATGCCCTCTTCCATCTTGTAAGGAACTTCATGGTTACACTTTGGAGCCCACGTGGGTAACCCAGGGTTAGCTCCCCTTTTTAGGGTAAGTTGACTAGCAACCTATTTCTATCTGCACGCTTAGTTCTCTCTCGCCATGTAGCACAATATGCTTACAGGTCCCTGGAATTAGGACATGGACGTCTTCAGGGGGCCATATTTCTGCCTCCCGGTTACTCTCTACAGCTGGCACAAGGCTGTTGTCCCGGGGATCTCCCCTCCCCATCATTCTGGAGAAATTCTCTTCTGTCCACTTTCGTACCGGAGCGCCCCCTCTTCTGCACCTCGTGTCTTCTTTCGTGATTTACTCCCTTGTTCTGGCGGGAACCTTCTTTAGCAGCTTCTTGAAAAAGGATGTATGGAAGGTACATTTTTGAAAACCCCGTGTTTCTGAATTATTTTGTTTTACCCTTGCACCTGATTTGATAGTTTGGATACAGAATTTCTAGTTTAGAAATTGTTTTACTCTAGAATTTTGGAGGCAATATTCCATTGTCTTCTTGCTTCCGGAATTGCTTTGGAGAAATCTAAAGCGATCCCAACTCTTGATCTCTTGATCTTTCCTCTCTTTCCTGTTTTTCTTCCCTGTGCTAGCATTTGGAGTATCTTTTCTTTCCCCAATTTTCTTTATTATTATTATTATTATTTTAGTATTGAGAGAGAGAGAGCACTAGTGGGGGAGAGGGGCAGAAGGAGAGAGGGAGAGAGAATTCCAAGCAGGCTCCATGCTCAGCCCAGAGCCCAAAGCGGGGGCTCGATCCCACGACCCTGGGATCATGACCTGAGCTGAAATCAAGAGTCGGACGCTCAACCCACTGAGCCACCCAAGTGCCTCTCTTTACCCAGTTTTCTAAAATTTCACAGTCGTGTGCCTTGGGGTGGGTCTACGTTTATCCATCATGATGGGCCTCAGAACACCATTTCCATCTGAAAACCTGCCTCCCTTAGTCCATGGATTATTTCATTGTTGATTCTCCTCTGTGTTTCCTGTATTATCTCTTTCTGGAACGTCTATTATTCAGATATTGGCCTGCCTGGATTATTCCCTCTTGTTTCCTTTGGCTTCTGTTTTCTTTGTCTTCATCTTTTTGCTCTTTTTTAAAAAAAACTTTTTTTTTTCTGAGAGATTTCCTCAACTTTATCTTTCAAACTTTCTATTGAGTCTGTCATTTCCATTGTGCTTTCTAAGAATTGTTTTTATTCTCTCAATATTCTATTATTTGTTATAGCACCGTGTGTTATTTATTGGATGCAGTACGTCCTCTTATTCTCTAGCGATCATTTTTTAAAGATGTTTTCTTTCCTAGATACGGTTTCTGGGTGCCTGGGTGGCTCATTCGGCTAAGCGTCCTCTTGATTTCAGCTTGGGTCGTGATCTCACGGTTCGTGGGTTCGAGCCCCACATCAGGCTCCGTGCTGACAGTGTGGAGCCTGCTTGAGATTCTCCCTCTCCCTCTCTCTCTCTCTGCCCCTCCCCTGCTCTCTCTCTGTCTCAAAATAAATAAATAAACTTTAAAAAACTAAACCTCGTTATTAAAAAAAATAGATATGGTTTCTGGTTCCCCAGATTGTTTTTTGTTGGTTTTGCTCTCTGTCTCCTGTTTCAGAGTCTTCCTCAGATGTCTGGTATCCTGGTCGTATGCTCATGACTCAGGGTGGGTGGTTTCCTACAGAATGGAAATTCTGAGTGAACTGAGAGGGGACAGTGGCTTGCTGACTTTGAGTTTCACTTCTGGGTGACATAGGTGGACAGTCTGTTGGGGAATCTTTGTATTGGTATCTTTTGTTTCTACTTGGGCTGGTCAGATTCCCCAGGAAAGTTTTCCTGACTCGTGTGTGATGGGTCAAGTTCTGGGAGCAGAGAGGGGCAGGAGGGCCAAGGGTCTCACCTTTAGCATGTTTCTGGTCTCTCCATCCCTTGTTTTGGGCACATCCTCATGTGTGCTTCTGGATTTCCAGAAGGCCCCCAAGTCTTCTGTTTCACCGTCTGCAGAGAATAAACTTTCAGACTTCCGCTGTGGTTAAGGAGGGGTCCAGGGACCTAGTCGCAGAGCTCTCTCTCCTGTTTCCGGAGGTATTTGACATTGCCAATAGGTGATCTTTCCTGAGGATCCTGTTGTACAACTCGGCTGGATCCTCAACTTTTCCTGCTGCCGCCTTAGAATGTAGAGTTCTGTGGGTCCCTTGTGGAATTATGCCTAAAACAAGTGCCTTCCTTTTGGTTAAGTGTCAGGAGAGAGTGAAATTTGACACACGTTCACTTTTTACCCCGAAATCTACTCTGACTTTTGCGACACTCCCCCCCCCGCCAGTACAAGCAATACAAGTCAGCAATCCTAATAAAGTATAACATCACTACTGCTCGTAGTCGGGGGCTCATATAAAAACTCGTAGAGAGCATCTCTGTGCCTGGCAGAACTGGGCACGGGGGTGCAGCCAGGCACGAGGCAAGGGAGACGGGCGAGGTCCTGGCTCTCATGAAGGTCAAGGTTGGCATACTGACCATTCAACACGAGTTCCTGCCCCGCTTTGCACTCGCTTCAAGGGCTCCCCGCAGCCACCCGGGCTTCGCCGCCCTGCCCTTCGCACAACCGCGCTCTGAGGGTTTATGTGCTTTCAATACCCACAGAGTGAATCGAGTTGCCCTTAGGCCCATGTGCGTTCCTGGCCAGCTGGCTCCATCCATCTGTTCTTTCCCCATCCAGCCCTCTTCTCCCCATTTCCCTGCCAATATCCGTTGACTCCCGAGTTTGTCGAGTGGGCCAAGGGGCATGTGAGTCTCCCGGAGCGGAGCGTTCTTGTCGCAGGTACGGCCTGCACGCGGAGTCCCCGCAGAATCTGATCTCCCCTCCGCTCTCTTGCAGGTCAGAGACGCCGTGGTGGCGGCTGGCATCGCCGGCGTGGGCTTGGCCGCCGTGGGCCTCATCGGAGTCATGTTCTCCAGAAACAAGCGGCAGAAGCAATGAGTGGGAAGGGACCGTCCCAGCAGCAGTGACTTTTGTACACTCAGGGGGTCTTGTCGGGCCGGAGGTGTTGAGGTTTCGGTTTGCGGATTTCATGCTGTTTGATGATAAGGCTTATTTTCGCAGGATAAAATAAAGCCCAGTAAGGGAGGATTTTGCTGGAGGAAATACAGCAGGAGCTGCCTGGTGTGAAGTGTGTCGAGCGCACAGCCGGGCCCTGGACCCTCTGGTGGTCTTCCTTGCCTTTGTCTTTGCCGGCTGCGTTCTTCCCCTTGCAGGAAACAGGCCGACTCCTGAGCTCAAGTAATGGGCATCTCGGGTTGTGGGGAGACAGGCGAGCAGCCGGGGAGACGGACAGATGGACGTGACCGATGCGCGAGGACGGGACCCTTGGCCCGGAACTAGACCCGGGACGGCTTCTTCTGGGGCTCAGCAGCCGAGGTCTGCGGGTGGTCAGTGGAGCCAAAGCCCGAACCAAACCTCTGCCCGAAGGAAACTCGGTGTGTGCTCTCACCGATGTTGTGAAAACCCCCCTCGTCTCCCCCTGCTCCCCACACCTTTCCTCTGCCTTGTCGCCCCCAGCCCCCCGTGCCTCCTTTTCCTGGCCACTCAGGCTGGCCGTGTCCCCCCACCCCCGAGTCTCGGATCTCGCACCCCTCCTGTGGCCCCCTCTTCCCGTGGCCTGTCCGCTCCACGCCCCCCATCCACGGTGGCTTTCAGCTTTCACGCCCAGCCTGCTGCTTGGCCAGTCAGCCCTGCCCACGGGGCCGGGTCACAGGGAAGCCTCAAAACCCGGCTGCGGCTGCCCCCACGACTGGTCTCCCCTGGGGACGAGGCACCACCTTCTGTGGCTTGAGGTCTGCCGCTGCTGCTGGCCGGACTTGGCAGGTGTTCAGAGGGGCCACTTGTCTGCAGGGGGGCCTTCGTGGCTTCCTCAGAAGTACTCTGCTGGGGCCAAGAGGCCTGCCCTCCACAGGGCAAGGCTTCTCCATCTGGTTGCAGATCTGTCCTTTTGTCGGCCCTGCTTGCCCGGAGACCTTCGTCTGTCAGACTCCCGGACGGGACTTGCCCGTGGCTCCCTGCCAGCTTCCTCCTGCTTGGCCGAGATCCAGTCCAGGGTCAACTCGTGCCCACCCACACCCCAGCGTAGAGATGAGAATAGTTGTCTCCCAGTGTGGTTTTCTTTGTGTCTCAGCTCTGCTGATGTAACATCTCGTCCCAGTTCTCAAGCTCCCCAAAGCAGGGGACGTAGGCCAAATTCGAAGGGCGGGTCCTCCCGAAGGCCCCTCCTCTCACACGGCATAAGGTGAGACGATGGGGACGCATGAGGTGGAAACCTTCAGGCTAATTATCGAGAACAGGGGGCCGAGGAAAGATAAACACAAGAAAACAAAACGAAGACACCTGGTTCCATTAAAAAATAAAAATTCCATCCAAAAAAGTGGGATGCTGTAGAAATAACCAAACAAGATAGAATTGGTTCCAAATACACTGATCGTCACCATATAAACTGGCCACGTAAGAGAGACACCTTTCACTGGGTTGGAGACAGACACTGGGTTAAGACTGATGTCTTAAAAAAATGAACGCTATCGAGGAGAAACACTGAGGGGGTGTGAAATCTGTCCTCCATTGAAAGACACGCTCGGCCCAAAGCAGCTAAATGTGAAAAAACACCCGTGAAAGTAACTTGAGACAATTGGGGGAAATTCGAGTATGGCCCGGGTATTAACATTAAGGAATTATTAATTTTACTAAGTGAATTGGTTTTAGGCTTGTGTAAACACATGCCCTGATTTAAAGAAACAGACGCAGGTGCGCCTTTGGGGGGGGGGGGCTCAGTCGGTTGGGCGTCTGACTCTTGATTTTGGCTCAGGTCATGATCTCACAGTTCATGAGTTCGAGCCCCGCTTCTGACTCCACACTGACAGTGCGGAGCCTGCTTGGGATCCTCTGTCTCCCTCTCTCTCTCTGACCCTCTCCTGCTCACGTTCTCTCTCTCTCAAGATAAATAAATAAACATTGAAAAAATAGATGCAGATCAAGCAAATATGACAAAACAGTAAATTTTTTTAATCGAGGCAGTGGGTATATAGATGGTCACTGTACTAGTCTTTCTAGTACTTTCTATATGTTAAGAATTTACATCATAAACCTTTTAAAAAATCTGAAATTTGGGGCGCCTGGGTGGCTTGGTCGGTTGTTGCCGCCCTCACTCGCTCAGGTCATGATCCGCTGTCTGGTGGAGTTCAGCCCCGTCGGGTTTGTGTAGATAGTGCTTCAGAGCCTGAGTTGTAGCCAGATTCTGTGTCTCCTTTCTTTCTGCCTCCTCCCTGTTCATGCTCTGTCTCTCTCTGTCTTAAAAATAAATAAACGTTAAAAAAAATTAAAAAAAAAAAATCTGAAATTTGAACTTGGACAGTTAAATAAGACTTTTGAACCTACTTCAATAAATATAATAATTTTTTTTTAATTTTTTTTAACGTTTTTATTTATTTTTGAGACAGAGACAGAGCATGAATGGGGAGGGGCAGAGAGAGAAGGAGACACAGAATCGAAGTAGGCTCCAGGCTCTGGTTATCAGCTCCAGAGCTCAACACCCAAATCACGACCGGAGATCGTGACTCTGAGCTGAAGTTAACTGACTGAAAGCTACCCAGGCGCCTAACAATAGAAATTATAAAAGATAATGTTATGCAAATACAAGAACATATATTGACTAAAAGCTGGTATAATTGTATCGTATTTCAGAAAAGATAGGATTTAAGGCAAAATTATTACTAGACAGAAAGGTCATTAAAAGTGTGGCCCAAGGGGGGGGCCTGGGGTAGCTCAGCTGGTTGCCGCCTGACTCTGATTTGTCAGGTCAGCGATCTCTGTTCAGAGATTGAGCCTTGCCTCAGGCTCTGTGCTGACAGCAGGAGGCTGCTTGTAGTAACTTTCTCTCCCTCTCTCTCTGACTTTCCCTGGTTCTCTCTTTGTCTCAAAACAAGTAAAATAAACATTTTTTTAAAAAAAAGTATGGCATACAGGGCGGCTACGGGTTTAGTTTTGTTGTTATGTCCAACTTTGTTCAGGGTCAGATCTCACCACTTGTAATTGAGCCCCGATCAGGCTCAGGCTCACTGATAGCTCAAGCCTTGAGCCTCCTTCTAGATTTTGTGTGTGGGGTGGTTCTCTCTCTCTGCCCCTCCCCCGCCTTCTACACTCTGTCTTTTTCTCTCAAAATAAACATTAAAAAAAACAACATAAAGAGGGGCACCTGATGGCCGGTTAAGGGCTGACTTCGCCTCGGTCATGGTCACTCTAGGGTTTGAGCGCCTGCATCACCCGATAGCTCAGAGCCTGGAGCCTTGTTTCTTAAATTCTGTGGCCCTCTGTTCCCCCTCAGCTATACCTGTCTCTCTCAAAAAAAAAAACAAAAAAACAAAAAAAAATAATTAATTAAAATAAATAAAAAATAAAAAGTATGGCATAATAAGAAACATATTTGGTCTTTGTCCTTGGTTCCGAGCATGAGCTCCCTTGGAATTTCCTGAGTGATAAGATTCTCTAGTATTATTCAAAATGAACCCCTTTCTATCACACCTGAGTCTGTGCTAATGACTGATGTAAGGTGGGGGCGCTCGAGAGCCTTATGATGGGGCTGGTCATCCGAAAGACCAAGTAATTAGAGGATTGGAACTTAGAGCACCACCCCTCTCCACCCCACCCTCCCCTGCCCCGCTCCCACACCGATCTCTGGGAGAGGGAGTGAGGTTGAAGACAAAGCCCCATAAAACCTCTTGAACAAGGAGACTTGATGAGTTGTTGGGTTGGTGAATGCATGAGGTGCTGGGAGAGCCACATGTCTGAGGAGGGCACGGAAGCTCCTTGCATCCCTCTGCCCCCATATCCTGCCCTGTGCATCTCTCCCGTTTGGTTGTTCCTGGGTTATACCCATTATACTAAGCTGCTAAACATAAGTAAAGTGCCTTTCTAAGTTCTGTGAGCTAGCAGATTTTTGGACCTAAGGGTGGTCATGGGAAACCCCAATTTATAACCCATGGACAGAGGCCTGGATGGGCCGGGTCTTGTGAATGACATCCGAAGGAGGGGAGGGGCGGTGCAGTCTGGTGGGATTGAGCCCTTACTGTGGGGTCTGTGCTAATTCCCAGGTGTTGCTGTCAAAACTGGAACGAATTGTTGGACGCCCAGTTGGTGTCGGAGAATCACAGGATTGGTTGCTGGTGTAGGAAAACACTCCAAAAGGTTCTGTGAAAGTCTCAACTCGCCAGGAAGATATAATTCCTGACTTGTTTGCATCTAATACGAATCTCTAAACCAGATACTGAAAATGTTGGCCTATTGCAAGGAGAAATTGACAAATTCTCCATTACAGTAGGGAATGTAAATGCACTTCTCTCAGAACTGATAAATCAAGGAGACACAAAAATCAGCAAAGACATGGAACATTTGAAAAACCAACAAGCTGACTTAATATAGATAGCACAGTGTATATGCCGTGTACTACATAGTACAATTGTGGCAAACAGATTCTTTTGACCACACACAAAGGAATGTATGTACATAAAACTGGCCTCAAAGCAAGTCTTAAGCAAATTTCAAGGGACTGGTGACATAGAGATTATCTTGTCTAATCACAGTGCATTAAGTGAGAAATCAACAAGGAAGAGATAGCTAGAAAACCCCTCTACTTTCAGAAATTTTAGAGCACGTCGGTAGTTACATTATGAGACAAAGATGAAAACGTAATGGAAATTAGATAATATTCGGAACTGAATGGTAACAAAAATATTAGATATCGATCTTGGGGCCATGCAACAAAAGGGAGACTTGGAAAAATTTGTAGCACAAGTCCTTATACGAAGAAAGAGAAAAGTGCAAATTAATAAGTTAATCATCCAGTTTAAGAAGATTGAAGGCAAACAGATGGCCAACAAATGCATGAAAAAGCACTCGGCGAAGGGCACCAGGGCGGCTCAGTCAGTTGAGTGTCCAACTCTTGATTTCAGCTTGGGTCACGATCCCAGGGTTGTGAGATCAAGTCTCGCATTGGGGAACTCCACGCTCAGTGCAGAGCCTATTTGGGATTCCCTCTCTCTCTCCCTCTCTCTGCTGTATCACCCCACACCT